GTTTTGCTGCTGCAGCAGGACAGCAGCAGCTGCTGCTGCAGGCAGGGGCCCCCAAGGGGACACCGCAAGGCCTTGTTGTTGCTGCGCCCCACAGTGAAGCTCCATTGCAGCAGCAGCAGCAGCTGCACCGGCAGCAGCAACAACTGCAATAGCAGCAGCAGCTGGAGCAGGAGCAAGAAGCCCGGCGAGCGGCTCAGGTGTGGGGCCCCAGTGCTGCAGCAGCAGCAGGAAGGTGTGATGCTCTTTTGCTGCAGCAGCAGACTCAAGCATCATCAGCATCTGTTGCAGGGGCTTACAATAGCTGCTGCTCCTTGCAGCGGCAGCTAATACTGGCGGCTGCTGCTGTAGCTGCCGCCCTAGCTGCTCTCCTACCCGCTGCTGCTGCTGCTGCTGCTGCTGCTGCTGCTGCTGCTGCTGCAGTCACCATGGGGGCCCCCAGCAGCTTTTGGAAGTCTTTGGGGTTTCCCCGCTTTGTGTTGGCGCCGATGGTAGAACAAAGTGAACTACCCTTCAGGTAATCAAATGCCCTGTGCAGCAGCAGCAGCAGCAGCAGCAACAGCAGCAGCAGCAGCAGCAACGGCAGCAGAAACAGCAGCAGCAGCAGCGATACCAACGCAAGGCCTTGTTGTTGCTGCGCCCCACAGTGAAGCTCCATTGCAGCAGCAGCAGCAGCTGCAGCGGCAGCAGCAACAACTGCAATAGCAGCAGCAGCGGGAGCAGGAGCAAGAAGCCCGGCGAGCAGCTCAGGTGTGGGGCCCCAGTGCTGCAGCAGCAGCAGGAAGGTGTGATGCTCTTTTGCTGCAGCAGCAGACTCAAGCATCATCAGCATCTGTTGCAGGGGCTTACAATAGCTGCTGCTCCTTGCAGCGGCAGCTAATACTGGCGGCTGCTGCTGTAGCTGCCGCCCTAGCTGCTCTCCTACCCGCTGCTGCTGCTGCTGCTGCTGCTGCTGCTGCTGCTGCTGCTGTTAGAGCTACACGTTTTCCTGCAGCAATCCCTGCTTGGCGAATAAAAATGCTGTTGCTGCTGCTGCTCTTGCTGCTGTTGCTGCTGCTGC